GATTGTGGGGTAGGTGTGAGTTCAAGGCTTGTGGCTTGCAAAAACATTTTTGCATATAGAGATCAGCACTGAATGAGAATAGCTATATATATGAGAAGAGTTAATGTACCATATGAAAAACATTCAGATAGTTGATCCAAGTTCCAATGGAGGAGACCCTAACCCAGTGGATAATGCTCCAGACCTCTATCAAGAGACCCAGGATTGAATCCCAGCCACTAACAACACAAAAATGGTTGTTCTTAGTACTTCTCTGAAGATGGCAGCATATTAGCAACCAAAACATAGGATAAGAGCTAGTTTGTAATTAGTATATAGTTAAAAAAAATTAATAATTAATAATTAGACCTATATGATCATGTAGGTTACTGACTATGATAACAACAGATCAAAAAATATGTTTTTCTTTAATTATGAGATTTTAATTTTATAAAACATACACAATTCAACATGCTTAACTGTGCAAAAATTTCTTCACTTTTCCAAAAATTGATAAATATAAAATTTTGTTTATTGCCGCATGGGTTTTGGTAAAAAAAATCAATACAACAATAAGAGTACGCCTTAAGTGTATTTTTCAAAGAGTGATAAAATCAAGTTTCCATCAGAACCCAAGAAAACTGTAAATTGATAAACATGGCTTTTATTGAACTAACTTAAGATTATCTGATATGCAACATTAGAAATCAGCCAGGTTCAGCAGTCTAACTAACATACATGACTGCATTTGAATTTCTGTAATAATTTTAATACTCTTACTTTTGAATTTGCTATGTTAGTACTCCTGTCAAAATACTCAAATGCACCCTTGATTTGATGTTGTTTGAATTACTAAAATATTTATTCAAATAAATATAATAAATAGATTGATCACCAGATAAGTTTTCTCAATCATGGGCTTAAAGAGGCCTGGCACAATATTCAAAAATGGGAATAACTGCTGTTTATTTATTCCAGCTTGTTCAGTATGTGTGTTACCTCTTCAGATGGGCTTGCCCCATCCTAGGGTATGGACACACACACACATACAGGACCAACTAAAAAGCTTCTATGAGATTACTGTTGTCATATTTTATGTAAACTTTACCTAAGCAAATGGATTAGCATATGTTTACAACTTTTTGACATCCAGTTTATAAGAATATCATGACTATAAACAATGTAGAACTAAATGAAATGTAATAAAAATTATACAAATATATCTTAATTAATATATATTCAACATTAGCCATGAAAGAGTGAAATAAGTAGCTTTCTCAGCAACTCTGTATGGCATGTGATGTTGCTCATTATTACTTATACAGTGTAACCAATCCTGAACCAATTTGCAAAAAGCCCTTTAATATGTACAATGCAGCTATTTGCAGTTTCTCTTGGGCTTAGGTAGAAACTTGATTTTATCACGCACTGAAAAATACATTTTTTTCTCCTTTTCTTGATTGTAAATCCTGCTCCTCAGAAATTTTGTTCTACATAATTTTCCACCAAAACATATGATGAAAGGAACAAAATGTTTTTCTTTCAGATTTTTTATATTCAAACCAAAGACATTTCTTCCTCATTTAAGCATTTAGAATGTTTTGAATTCTATACCAAGATAGCCACAAACTGTTCTTACTTATATAAGTATACAAAACAGATATTAATCCAGATATCAAAGTAGCAAGTTTTTGGTTATAAAGAACAGAACAGTAACAAGTAAATACTGATATATTTTTCTTTTCTTGCTGAAACCTTTTATCTCCCAAGTAAATTTTAAGTATCAAAATTAGATGTGACAAATTTAATAGAACAGGGTAGTTTATGGTCTAGCTTAATCTTACTTTCCTAATGATTAAGAAAGTTTGGAATTTAATTCAATTTTGAATCTCGAAAATTGATCATATGTTCAGGTAGCTAAAGTGAGATAAAGCAGCAAGGCAAGCAGTGCAGATAATCACTCTGTAAGTAATAATGGCTAGAATTACAGATGGCCTACCCACACTTGTCAGCAGTGCAAATATCTCAGCCATTTATTAGCATCACCATCTGATTGCAGTTGAAGTTTAACTGCAATAACAATGACGTAACTGGCACTAGTAACAACTACTTACATAAATTGCAATACTAACACTATTAGTGTAGTTTGATAAAATTATTTTTTTTATGTAAATTTTGAGAATCTTCTTTGTTTTACTACTAGTAAACACATTTCGTTAAAAAATAAGTTAGGAAATCCAAAAGGGCTTATGAAAAACAGCCAGCTGATAATTTTCATACAACAAAATGTTAAAATGGTGATTGGGTAGTTAAAGTATGTTGATGGCGAGGTTTCAATTTAAGACTATGAGATTGTTCAGCTTTCAAAGTTTCCTTCCCTTTTGTTTTTACAAGAGAAGGTATTAGCAATATTCCCAAGTACTGACCTTGAACATTCTAGGTGAAATATTGGAATTGACCTGAAACATATAGATATTAATTCCTTCATGGTAAGATAGTAAAAACAAGCACCAGGACAAGACAATCTTTTTCTCAGGGTTTTAAAAGTACATGAAATTATCATATATGCTTGCCTCACTCTCTCTCTCTCTCTTTCTCAGCTTTGGTAAATCAATAGACAATGGGCAGAAGACTGAGGATTACAGAATAGTTAATGTTATTTCTATCCTTAAATGGGGTGATAACAGTTTTACTGGAAATTATAGGGCAGTTTGTCATATTTCTGTAGTTGGAAAAATACTACAGAGTCATGAGGTAGCAGCTTATATTTTATTTTTAGTTATAATTTTGTTTATCATTTACATATTTTTCATTCTACCATTTGCCTTTTTAGTTCTCCCATATTTTTATTTGCTTTAAATATAAGATCGCCTGCCTCCAAGTAAACATTAAATAACAAAGAAGTGATTTTTATATTAAGACAACAACACAAGTTTCCCTTAGTAGTGAAGTATGGATACTAAGTTCATCATTAATCATGTAAAACAAATGTTAAGTAGTTAGTCACATGACATGTCATCTTGTTGTCTGGCATGACAATAAAAAGTCTTATGATGAAGTTTGAATGACAAAGACAAGAAGTGCTAAGTTAGAGATTTGTGAAACTGTAATGTGTAAGATTTTCTAGTTGTTAAAAGATATCATTGCAAGTACTTGCCTGATTTTTCTTGTGAATTAACATTATTTCTATGATGAATGTCTAATATTGCTATTGTGAAAAGTCTCACAAATTAGAATTTTCTTTTTATAGTTCTTTTTTTTTTCCAAATTCTTTATTAATGCTATCATTAATTTGTGATTTTTGATATTAGCACCACTGATTTTTTTCTATTTTTGTGATACTAGTGTTTGTATTTGGAGACTGAGTTCTTTATTTACAAAGTTCTAATTTTTCATACCCTGGTAATAATGTCATTATTTGATACATTACAGAGTCTAATAAAATAAATTTTTCAAAATCATCTAGCAAAATATGATATCAGATATTAAAGAAAGTCAACATGGAATAACTAATGGAGTATCTCTTTTTACTAATTAGTTAACTTTTGTTGAGGATGTTGCATATTATCTTAGTGAACTTTGATTTTCAAAATTCTTTGGATACAATGCCACATAAAAGAGTAGTTAATAAAATCACATCAAGTAAGAGTTGGTATAAGACTAGTTAAAATGGATTGTAGGGCAACAGGAGGGGAAAAAGAAAAAGGTAGATACTGTTAGTCCAGTGATACTGAACCCTTGTTACTAGTGGAGTGCCTCAGGAGTTAGTGTCTGGGCCTTTTGTTTTTCTTATTTACATCAATGATATTAATAGGCATATAATTAGTACATTAGTAGAGTTTTCTGGTAACATTAAATTCTTCGATATTTCTAGCTGTACTAAAGGATGTTAAGGTATTACAGAATGACTTGAATCAATGAAATTGGACAAATATTTGGCAAATTACTTAGAATTGCAGTAAGTGCAAGATAAAGAATTTGGGCTATCAAAATTTATATTATACATCTAATGTAAATGGCAAACCACTCACTAGTATGGCTGAAGAAAAGAATTTTGGCATGTTGGTAGACAAGTCACTCATATCATCAAAACAGTGCAGTGTTATTAGTAGCAAATGCTAAAAAATATTTTATGTGTATTTATATAAATTATCATTACAATTCAATGAGCTAATTATCTTTGTTCAACTCACTAGTTTGGCCTCACCTAGAATACTGTGCACAGTTTTAGTCTTCTTATTTAAGAAAGGATATTGATTTATTAGAAATGTTTCAGGAGAGGCTACTAGTACTAGGAAATGGAAAGATTATATTATGGGAAAAGGTTAAGAGCTTTTAAATTATTCTTTTTTGAGTGAATAAAAAGTTAGAGATATTTTTATTGAAGTTTAGAAATAGAAGATTATCTGAATGATTGATAGGTAAAGGCCTCTGATTTCTTTGGGCTATATTCTGACAATAATAGAATGAGAGGACACTTAATATTTGTAAAGGACATGCTAGGCTCCAGTTACAAAAGCTTTATTTTCATAACAGGTTGATTGACTTTTGGAACAAGTTGCCATATGCAGTAGTGAAAGCTAGCACTTTATATTTACAGGAGCTTAAGAGGATAGGTTCATGATTTTCATTAGTAATAATGGGCAGATTTAAATTTCTACTTTTCTCAAGAATGTGAGTACAATAACAAGTTTGAAGGATGAAATGGCCCCTTTTCATCCATTTTCTTATATTCTATTACTAATACCACTCGTTGCAATGACAAGTTTTAAGCTTACTGTACAAAATACAATCTATTATGTAGGATATAACTTTCTTATAAAGTTTGTATAGCACTTTAAATAAAACTAATTCTTAATTCACAAATTACAACATCAAAAATAAGTATAAAATGAAATAGAATAACTGTTAATAATATAGTCATTAAAAATTAAAACTTAATCTTTAAAGTACCAAAAGTTCCTTTAGTTTGCATAACTAACACTAGTAGTAGTAACAATAACAAACTGTAAATAACTTACTTTACCGATTACATATTTCAGACTGTGATTGCGAAGATGTTCATCACCATTATTACTTTTATTTTAATATTAATATAATATCATGTACAGCACAGATCTAAAAACTTAATTAACATTACAATTACACTTTAGAGTAGCCTTATTTTCTTTGTTATAATCTTTCAGCATTCGCTTAATAAAATTATAGAAGTTAAACTAAGGTTTTTGAAAATATAAACACTGACAACAGGCATTAGGAAGAGCATGTACACTACAGTACAGAGGATATGACATCAGCGAGGTTGATATATTTGCTCTGTTTGGACAACATAGTCTACAATATATTAATTTAATATGAACACCAAGAGGTGTCAAAATAAAATTACAAAACATTTTAATTACGTAACATACAGAGTAATGAATACCAACACAATTTTATTCTTATAATGTTACACACAGCTAATTAGCTCATACTTACACTTTCGCTGAATAAATTCTTAAATATTCATTTATTATTATACTTTACTCGCATCATTACCACACTGCTAATTGAAAGCACACACTACAACGCCACCGTTGGAAAAAAAAAAAAAAGAAAGCAAATTATTTCTCCGGACATTTATATTTACGAAGCCCCAAGCTTAAAATAATACAAACAAAATGAGTATAAACACATATGTCGGGTTGTTATTACTATTTTGTTTGTTATTATGATTTTACTTATTGTTTATGTATTTTTCCTTCTATCATTTATCTCGCTGTATTTTTATTTGTCTCAATCGCCAGCTCATCTCAAATATCCCTTATTCTGTATTATGTTGTGTTATTACTAATCCGAATAATAAGATCAGAGTTTTCAGTTTACTGCACAAACTGGAACGAGAGCCATAACTTTGCTTAGAGACAGAGAAGGTTAAGTTAGGCCAAATTAAAGATTTGTGAAATTGTGTTGAATAACATATATAATATCTGAAAAATATGATTGTATGCACTCGCTGATCGTTTATTTGCAATCTAACGTTATTTCTTTTAGAAATGTCTGTATATTGTTATTTTGAATATTATTGCGAATTATTTTTATCTTCTTCTGATTCTTTTATTTTCTGATCCATTTTTATCACTATCATTATCATTGCTCTTATCACTATTTTGTGTGGATTATTATTTATAACACTTTTTGTTTCTTTTTTTTAAATAAATGTCTTGCATCTTATGATCAAGATAGTTATTTACAAAGCCCTAGCCACATCCTTTTATTGATGTTTAATATCTGCTAAAGCTTGCATTGTGCTTAATAACATCATTATTTGACATATTACAGGTTTTATTGAATATTATAATTAAAAACAGAGTTACATTGCACTCATTATATTGCGAATCGTAACCATAAATAAACCACGAGATATCGAGTTTGTGATTGTAAATTTTCTCCATAGAGGGCAGGGTAGACTTGTCCTCATTGACTCATTGATACGAATATTATTGATGATTCTTAATCGAAATTACAAAAACAAAATATAGATTTCAGGTCGTCTCAACTTATGTTTATAGTTTTCATTTATAAATTTAACGGTGTTTTACAAAGACAGGTGATGTTACTATGTGAATTATGGTATTATGGTGTAATTAGGCGGACTGTGTTACTTAGATTAGTACTTTTACAACAGATGGTGTTTCTGTAAGCGGATAGTTCAATAGGATGAAGAGCTCTTCGTAGGGTAGCTCAATGTGTCTCATAATATGATTACGTTATCAAAATTGTAGTCTATATTTAATTATATGTCCTAAAAAGTTACAAATAAAACCATTATTGTAACGAGAAAACTATTATAAAAGGCCTGGAATGGGTAGGTGGTTAGGGCGCTTAACTTGCAATCTGAGGGTCGCGGATTCGAATTCCCGTCCAACCAAACATGCTCGCCTTTTCAACAATGAAGGCATTATAAAGTGACGGTCAATCTCACTATTCGTT